AGAAGCCGGCCTGAAACTCATTGCCACCTCTTAGAGGCCGATGAAAGCGCCACTCAGCTGGCCCTTCAGGACGGGGACCCTGGAGCCAGGACACTTGGAGGGCATGTTTGACACCCGTGCTGGGGACTTCGAGTCCCTGCTCTCTACCCCTGGCCCCACAGAGGTCTAGGAGGCTGAGAGGGGGCAGATGACAGGCCATCAGCTGCCAGAAAGGCCACAGGGAAAGGCCCGGCACTTTGCCTGAGAATTAGCAGGCACCGGCCTCCCTTCTCCTGCTGGGGAGGGAGACTGGGAGTAGCTGGGGGGACTGGGAGTAGCTGGGCGGACTGGGGTTGGGCACATTCATGTTTTCTACATCTCAGTCTCCCCTTCCCAGTGGTTTCCCTGGCACATATTTTAATAATCCACTCACTTCCTCAGAACACCCAGGAAACCTTTAGTGATGTAGTGTGAGCTGAACTTTAGTCTCCCTTCCCAGAAATAGAAAAAAACACACCAGGAAAATGATAAGCCAGGACAACAGACGCACATTACCAGGCTCTGGGCCTGAGGTCCTTCTTGCTCTCCAATGCGAATGGTGAGCTCCTGGTGGTGAGAAGGGGTTCAGGATGCGCAGCACCCACCGAGACTGGACTTCATCAGAAAGACTGCAAAACAGTTGAAACGGAAATTGTTTTCTTCCTCTGATTTCTGCACCAAAGAAAGCCACACACGCACCCCTTTGGATGTTTTGGGGAACATGCTTTCCTAGAGCTTTTTCTTTTAAATTTTTTTAAATCCTCACCTAAGGCTATTTTTCCCATTGATTTCTAGAGGGAGTGGAAGGGAGGGAGGAGGTGGGGAGAGAGAGAAAAACATCGATGTGAGAGACGCATCGATTGGTTGTCTCCTGCACTCGTCCCTCCTACCAGACCTGGGGAACCTGAACCCACAACCCTTTGGTCCACAGATGGACGCGCTAACCACTGTACATACCGGCCAGGGCTCCTGGAGCTTTTTAACAGCCCAGTCACATGCAGGCTCCTGTATTTAGATACCAAGTTCCTGGGCTCTGCTACTGTTTTTGTCTCAGAACCATGGCTCAGCCTTTGCTTCATTCTCTTGACCACCGGGAAGGGCTCCGCCAGCTTTCTGGGCCCTGGACCCCGTGGGCAATCTGGTGAAACGGATGGATCCTGCCTCAGAATCCGCCGGGGGCTTGCAAACTCAAAGCAGCGTTAAAAATATAACATTACAGTAACATGTGTGTTCCCTGTGAAGGCAGTAAGTCACACAAGCCAGCAGTGGCTTGACTGCTGTCCTTCTGAAGTCGGATGGGCGAAGCAGCTCTGGGTCCTCTCCGTCACACCAGCCCCTCAGGATGAAAATGCCACCGTATTTGTGATTCTGTTGGTGACCAAGTGACAGCCACTGGGAAGCCTGCTGTGGGTGGTCCGCTACATTCAAAATGGAAGGGGCTACTCATTTCACCCTGAGTTTAGTGAAAATGAAAGTGTGATCCCCCACCCCCTCCCCCACCCCCACCCCATTTCACAGGTCCCTGAACTCACCCAGGGCTCACCCACCCTGTCCTTGGAGGACTCCGCCCACCCTGTCCTTGGAGGACTCCGGGTGAGAATCCCGAGAGTGTGGAGAGGAACAGGGAAGGCTTCCAGGAGACACAGGCACACTGTGAGCTGACGCACCCTGCCGATGGGGCAAGCCGGGGCAGAGGCAGGCCTTATCAACACCGTTTTAAGGAATATTTATTTCTCAGGGGCCCAGGAGCCAGCCAGGTCTGGCTTAATTCGATTTCCGTTCAGAGAGGGTAAGTTTCTCCCGAAAGGGCCCATCAGCACCTCCGTCCCAACACACCCACACTCGGCCTCTGGGGTGACACTGTGGGCAGCGCTGGCCCCTCTAAATCCTCCGTTTTGGGGCCTAGAGAAAGGATCCCTGCCTCCTCCCCTCCCCCAACACCATGCTACCCCTGCTACTCTTTTGTCCCAAAGGATCTGTGGACAAGTCCTCTGTCAGCGTTGGGTAATCCCCTCCCAAAGATTAAGTTGGGGGCGGCTGCATTTTCTGCCTTTAAACATAGCACTGCAGTCCCGCGGTCTGGGCCCAGGGACGGGGAGTGGCAGATGGCCCAGGACAGCAGACTGAGCTACTGGGACAGGCACGGAGAGGCCCCTTTAAGGCATGGCCAGACCTAAGAAAGCTGGAAACTGTCAGGACACCTTTGGGCAAAGCAAGGGTCGCTTCAAGTTGAACGAGGAAACCTCAGTGGTTTCTGGGATTTTAGCAAAATGAGAGCAAAAGCATTTGTGGACCAGGTTTCTCTGTGTACGACCTGTGCCCTGGTCTTTGCTTATGTTACCTAAAGGCACCAATACCAGGTCTAATGTTCATTCATTCATTCATTCCCTCATTCAACAAATGTTTACCAAGCCCCTCCTATGTGTCTCAGGCTAAGGATATTGCAGTCAGACACATACAAATGATTGTCCCCATGGACCTTCTACTGGAGGAAAGAATGACGAGAAACAAAATAAACAGGTGAAATACATGGTAGATGTGATGAGTCTTACAGAAAAAAGGGCCCTTGTGGACGGGGGGCTGGGGGGTGGTGGTCAGGAACACTACTGAGGAGGCGACATTTCAGCCCAGACCTGGGGGCGGTGGGAACCAGCCCGGGAGGACGGGCGGTGGGAGGGAAGGCCGGTGCAGGGGACCCAGGCCTCCTTGAACACCTGGCTGGCCTGCTCTCCGCGCTGGGCACTCCATGCATTGCCGTCATCATTCCAGCAGTGCTCGGAGCTAGCTATTATTTCCCCCTTATTTTATTGCTGGGGAAGGGGGAGCTTCGAGAGGTGGGGTGACTTGCCCAAGGTCACTCACATAGCATGAAGGAAAGTTAGAATTCTCAGTTTCTCTTTCCTCCACACCAGGCGGCCTCTGACACATCCCTGGGAAGACAGAAGAAAGGAAGAAATGGGGAGGTCGTGGAGGAGTGGCCAAGAGTAGCATTTACCCTTCTGAGTCATTAGCTCAGTCTTACAGAGAGGGAAACTGAGGCCCAGAGAGGAGAATTCAAGGTCACAAAGGAAAAATCATAATGGTTGGATGTCTTAGCTCATCGGTGGCTGTCCTTCTTGTCCCGGCACCATCCGGTAAGTCACTTGGCTCTCGGGGCCTCAGTTTGCGGATCTTCAAAATGGGGCTAATCACATCATCCTCTTGCAGTTGCCAAACAGGAAAGACAAGATCCTTTATGAGAAAGCATTTATTCTAATGCTTGGCACAGAGTTGGTGCCAAATAAATAGATTTCCTCATTCTTCCTTGGCAGCATTTCATCCAGAGGAGGGGTGAGGTGTCTGCTGACTTTGTGGTTTACACCAGTAGCCCCCTAACTTTAAAAAAAAACATTTTAGCCGAAACCAGTTTGCTCAGTGGATAGAGCGTCGGCCTGCGGACTGAAGGGTCCCAGGTTCGATTCCGGTCAGGGGCATGTACCTTGGTTGCGGGCACATCCCCAGTAGGGAGTGTGCAGGAGGCAGCTGATGGATGTTTCTCTCTCATCGATGTTTCTAACTCTCTATCTCTCTCCCTTCCTCTCTGTAAAAAAAAATCAATAAAATATCAAAACAAAACAAAACAAAAAAACAAACATTTTATTTATTTATTTATTTATTTACTTATTTATTTATTGAGAGAGAGGAAGGGAGAGGGGAAGAGAGAGGGGGACACATTAACATGAGAGATAAACATCGATCGGTTGATGCCCGTATGCACCCCGACCGGGGACTGAACCTGTAACCCGGGCATGTGCCCCGACTGGGAATCCAACCAGCGACCCTCTGTGCACGGGCCGACGCTCAACCAACTGAGCCACACTGGCCAGGGCCTAACTTTTCTTTATTTTAATACAACATTTCCAACCTAAAAAAAGTAGGGTTGGGGGGGACAAAATAGAGAGACTGGTAGAATGCATTCCCATATACCCACCACCTGGCTTCAATAATTCACCTCCTGGACAAGCTTGTTTCATTTATACCCGCAGTAGATTGTTTAAATGCAAATGCAGACACCGTATCATTTCACTTGTAAACACTTCAGCGTGTATCTCCAAAAGATAAGAGGGAATTTTAAAAAAACAACACAACCACAGTACTGTTATTGCCCCCGCCCCGCCAAAGCAGCGATTGCACCATCTTACGAAATATCAGTTGGTACTCAGTGTTCTCTGACTGTCCCGTGATTTTTATCATTTCATTGCAGTTGGTTGGTTCCAGTCAGGATGCAGGGAGGGGTCTGCGTTGTGTTTAATGCACCTCCCACTTTTTTTCTTTTGAAAAACATTTAAAATGGAAATAACGGAATCCTGGTGACCCTGGCCACGGGCATCCCCGGGGTGTCATTTGCGATGCCGCTCTGTCCCCTGTGTTTCCTGTAAAGGGGCCAGAGACAGACGTGCTTGCTGGGATTCGTTGGGGGCCTCACCTGACAGGCGGCGGTCCCTCTCGCTGGCGATGCGCAGTATGGATTTTCTTTCTTCTTGGTTTGTTAGCAGCGGCTCATGACCACTTTCGGGGTGGATCCATTGTTTCATAAAGGGTTGCAAAATGGTGCTCTCTCAGGTCTTTCACGTCTTCTTCATTTATTAGCTGAAATGCTCCCTAATTTCTTTGGAGGACCTCCCCCCCATCATTAAAAACTAAGGTCTGAGTCCTGGACGGTGTGGCTCAGTTGGTCGGGCATCGTCCCCTGCACCGAAAGGTTGCCGGTTTGATCCCTGGTCAGGGCACACGCCCGGATCTCGGACTTCATCCCTGGAGGGGGGCATGCAGGAGGCAGCCATTCAATCTTTCTCTCTCACATAGATGTTTCTCTCTCCCTCTCCCTCTCTTCTCAAAATCATTAAAAATATAAAAAAAAACCACCCTCAGATTTGAGTAGGCACTGTCCTATACCTCTGTGTTTTCACACGTCTGAACTGTGTACGTCTTCTGCATTATAGATTATTGAATGGCACTAGAATGGACATTTCAAAGGATAACCTTGAAAAATAAAGGAGCAATGAAGTTCTCCCCTCACTCAGTGGCCAGTCCGCACGCCGTTCAGGGGTGTGGTCAACTTCATCGAAAGGTAAGAATGAACTTCCTCAATCTAGAGGCCAGTGGGGACGCCCCTCTGCAAACCGAATGCAAAGGGAGCCTGTGAAAGCTGAACATGTTCGTCCATATTTATAATGAGGGGAGAAAAGTGTCTGTGCAGGGGTGCGGCCTGGAGAATGAAAGGAGGAGGCTGCCGAAGCCACCTCCATCTGGGGGGTCCTGGGCCAGGAGGTTTACAACCCAGAGACCTGACCGCTTTAGGGAAAAGCGAGCTCTTTTCTTGCCCCATTTTTAATTTTAAAGGACTCAGCCCCTCCGAAGGAGGTCAATCTCCCGGCAGAGACTTTAAAGAAAGCGCATCGCCCGCAGGTCTGCTTCTCCCAGGAGGGGATTTACTCTTCACCCCTCCGCCTCAGGAGTGTTAACAGCAGAATTAAGGCGGGCAATCTGGCTGGGGCTTGCTGCGGGGGAGGCGTGTGGGGCCTTTTTGCAAGGCATTAATCACTTGTTTATAGTGGGGGAAGGAGGGAAAAAGCCAGCAGGAAGACGGAGTGGGTTGCCTAACCCTAACCCCAACCCTCCACGGGCCCCTTCATTCCTGTGCCAGGTCCAGAGCAAGGTGGGGTGGGGGCACCCCTCCAGAGGCCGGGAGCAATGGGGGTCGACGCCTGCAGAGCTGGGGAGGGGAGGGCTGTCCCCTTCGGTGCTGGTCTTCAGGCCCCAGCTGCCTTCAAGAATGTGAAGTATCATGGGCACCGCTTTTCATATCCATGCCTAATCATCCTCTTTCCCAAGCTCAGACTCCGGACTCATGTTCTGTAAAACAAACAAACAAACAAACAAACAAACAAACAAACAAACAAACTGTTGTTTTCACATAAATATCTACTGGAGACAGTGGTTTCCTAGGGGGAACTGAACTTGGAAACCAGACCTATAGCTGAAACTACTTCGAACTGTAAACCATTTGGAATCGTGTAACATTTGGGTGCATCGCCTGTTAATAGAGAAGCAAAACAGCACATTTTTCTTTTTGTGACAAATAATTAAATCTGAAATCCATGGAAGAGCTTAGTCACAGTTCTAATACTAATCCCCGCCCGCCCCCCATGCATATAGTTTAAAAAATGCCGTTTCCTCTCAGGAGGTTATACGCATGCAGGTGTCAACCCAGGAGTTCCAACATGATAGGGAGAGTTATTCTCTCTCATAGCTCTCTCCCGCCAGTGACGCTAGATAGCAACATGAATCCTTATAGTCACATGACATGTCTACACGCACACACAAACGCACACACATATTTTACAAATGCATCACTTTCTTCTTATTATATTTTTGATATATATTTTTTTTATTGATTTCAGAGAGGAAGGGAGAGGCAGAAAGAGATAGAAACATCAGTGATGAGAGAGAATCATGGATCGGCTGCCTGATGCATGCCCCCTACTGGGGATTGAGCCCAAAACCTGGGTATGTGCCCTCACCAGGACTTGAACCGTGACCTCCTGGTTCATAGGTCGATGCTCAACCACTGAGCCACACCAGCTGGGCTCCCTTTTTCCTTATTTATTTATTTATATTAAAAATGATTTTTTTTATTGTTGCCTCACTCTTTTATTTTTTGAAATCTATTATTCATGCCACCATGTATTATTATTATATTTTTACATTAAAGATTACTTTTTGTTGTGAGTGTATATACATGGAATATCTTTTAATCACTCCTATTTTGACATTTAAGGAATCGTCCTCATGAAAAAAGAGACACAATGTGAGACACAATGGACACGTCACAGGGACGTGGAACACGTGGCCACTGGTATAGACTGCAAACAACGGAGGTCCAGACAGTGAGTCGGTTGGGCCGGGTGTTACCCAGACACGAGCCAGTATCCCTTCACCGTTATCAATAGTGGGTGCAGCAGCCGGACCTCAAGACGTTTGCCTACACGGCAGGCAGGTCCTGCTCACAGGCAGAAACTTCACAGAGCAAGTGGCCTGGAAACGTTTGCATCTTGAAGGCCTCAGCTGTTGGGCCACGTGTTTAACAGCATCGGCCCCGGAAGGTTCCACTTTCTTGCGTCGTGATGTCAGATGGGCCTTAACATGAGCCTTGGACAGTGCCTCTGTGGGCAGTGCCCGCCACGCCTCTGCTGTCGCACATCCACTTGCAGTGGCTGTCACCGGCTGTCGGCCCAGGCAGGCAGCACATGCAGGCCCGTTCAGAAAGGCTGCCGAGGGAGAAGCGGGTTGAGTTTGCACCCAGGCCTCACGAACTCTCAGTCCTGCTGGGCTGGCCTGGTGCGACCCCGTGTGCACCTTTCTGTCCCAGGGGGGCCCCGTGCAGCCTGGAGCCCTGGAGACTGCCGCGAGCTTCCGTGGTGACAGGACAGAGGGGATCAGACTGTATTCCCTGCTCCCCAGGCTGATGGTTGCTCAAACCACACAGCCCCTGGCTTTCTGCGTCTTTGTGAAAAATGGTGAAATTTTGCCGGCAAACAGGTTTTTCTGGCTGATTCCCCGTAAGATGGATGTTTTCCTTGACTGAGGGAAGCCAGGGTCCTTCAGGAATGTTTGCAGGAGGAGCCGTGGGATTTGGGTGTAGACCTGTTTCTGAGGGCCACTGCGCTTAATTGGTCAAACAGGCCTGGAAAACCAGCGCATCCTCCAGATGTACCACTTGGAAATTCATGGCCAGGCCAGACAGGCACGCTTCGGGCTCACCTATTCCGGTGAATAAAATCAGCCAGACAACCTCTCCGGCCTCAGCATCCACCGAGCTTTCTGGGGCTGGAGCTTTCTGCGTGCTCTCCTAGGGCCCCTGGATCAAGTCCTCTGCAAACGTTAAAGTGCAGAATGCTTGCAAGCTGTCATCCGGATGACGGCAATGAGGGAAGTACGTCTTGGGAATGAAATTAATTGATGTTTGTAAAACATGCAACCGTCTTCCTGCTCTCCCGACTGGGAACGCGTGAGCCCTTGGGAGCCTGGGAGACGGGGCCACAGAACCGCGGTGCACATACGCTGCCCTTCAGATGTGCGGCGAGATACAGCCTGTTGTGAGGAGGGCAGCTGTAGCTGTGGACACTTGGAGGAAATGAATGTCAGGCCTGGAGGAATGCTTCCCAGGGGAGGGGTCCCGTAGATGAGTTGAATTCACCAGGTCGGAGGGGAGGAGGGTATTCAAGACAGAGGAAACGGCACACAGAAAGATGGATGAGGGCATCAAAGTGTGGACAGGATGGCAAGTTGTTTGAGGGCACAGACCAGGGAGGGCGAGGGCGTGAGTGCCTGGCTGGTTGGCAAGTAACCAGGGTCCATATCAATGGAGCACTTGCCCTGTGCTGGGTTAAACGTTTGATGTGTATCTAAGTCTAACCCTAGCCCCCCGCTTCACCCCCAAAGAACTTGGTCCTGTGGACTCCCCATTTGGCAGAGAGGTTGAATACCTCATCCAAGGTCATAGGGCGGGGAAGTGACAGGGTCAGGATTCCGAGCCATCAGCCTGGCACAGACCACGTGCCTTCGCCATTGGACAGGCCTGCCAGCACCTCTGGGAGGCTGGGCTGAGCCGTCAGCACGTGGCTCTCGAGTGAAGGCAAATCAAGTCCTGGGAGGTTTTGCACAGGGAGCACCGCGGGCCGCTGTGGAACTCCGGAGAGCTGGGTTCGGGCTTCGGCTAAATGGAAACAAAAGGGAGAGGTTTGGGGAGGGGGCAGGTGATGAGCCAGCAGAGTTAGAGGTCAACTTAAGCAGCCACAGCTCCATGGAGACGTTCTCAAAAGCAGGAGGGAAGAGATTGGCAGCCCAGGGGACGCTGTGAGATGCTGGGTTGGGGGGGGGGGGGGGGGGGGTGCAGGAGGGGAGGGGAGATAAGGAGGATCTGAGTGAATACTTCTGAGCAGGGGTGGGGTGGGGGTGGGGGTCACAAGGGAGCCCGATGGCTTTTTACGCCCAGACCTCAGTGCAGGAGCTAATGGGACGACACATACCCCGGGGTTATGGAGTTTGGGTCGGGAGGAGACAGATAAAAAGGATGGAGGCAGCAGAAGGAAAGGCTAATGGAACCACACGGGAGGCATTAAAAGGCAATAAATCTGAATGGTATTTACCCAGGAATTCTGCAGAGGATGTTAACCCTGAGAACCCTGCTCACCTGGGCCTGGGCGGAGCCTGGAGGGGTCCCCCGTGGGTGACTCAGACCCTGGAGACGGTCAGGGAGCCTGTGGAGACAGAAGGGAGGCCCCAGTGGTGGGAGGCCGCTGGCAGAGGGACTCCGTCACCTCCATCACCGGGGACCATTCTCTGGAAGAACGAGGCAGCTGCGGGAAGAGAGACAGAACCACAGGATGTAATTTACTCACCTACTCCCCGATGAGATCCTCCCAGCCGGCCGGGACGGTAACTCTCTGTAATTATATCTCAGGAGAGGTCCTGCGGGCTCTCAGACAAGTTAACACGGCACACCTGGGAGAAAGGTGGGGGTGGGGCTGGGGCGTGCTGGCCAACGTCATCAGCCGGGTGGGGAAACTGAGGCACCTCTGATAGGAGGAGCAGAGTCAGGACTGTGCTTTCCCAAATAGCAGTGCCGCCAGGGAGGAGGGGAAGAGACTAGGCATCGGGGACTGGCTCAGCTCTCTTCTTCCTGTGTTCCCTGTGTGACCTGAGGAAATCACTCACCCTCTCTGGGCCTTGGTTTCCTGATCTACAAAGGAAGAGAGCTGGGTGCAAGGGACTGCCTGGCTCCTGACTCAAGAGTCTGTTTGGAGACTTCACCTCCCACTGAGTTACGGAGAAACACCTGGTTTGGTGATGGTGGACTTGGATTAGTCTGCAGGTTGAACTTGGCCGAGTTGTCCATATGAGACACTGTCATACCTCATGCCCTTCACAGGTGATGTGTCTATAGGATGAGACACTCCAGCCAACTGAAGCTAGCAGTGAGGGACAGCGATGCCTCATGCCCTACAGCAAATGACTTGGAGGACAGGGAGAGGAACTGATTTCAAGAATGGCTGCAAAATGCCCAGCTGGTGTGGCTCAGTGGTTGAGCGTCGACCTATGAATCAGGTGGTTCATGGCTCGATTCCCAGTGAGGGCACATGCCCAGGTTGCGGGCTTGATCCCCAGTGTGGGGCTTGTAGGAGGCAGTCAATCAATGATTCTCTCTCATCATTGATGTCCCCCCCCCCCTCTCTTTTCCTCTCTGAAATTAAAAAAATATTAACAAGAAAAAGGAACGGCTGCAAAAATTCCTCCCATGTTCCTTTGCACCGTGTGTTTTCGCCCCACCTTCCACCAAGAGGTGGGTGGGGTCTGCGTCCCCTCCTGGGACTTGCTCTGCCCCACAGGATCTGGGAGAGATCTTACAGATCTCACCCTGCCGTGGTCCAGGTGCCAGGGACAGACACTCCAACCCACTGTTGACTGATGAGAGTGTGCGTGACCTCAGGGCCCAGCCATCAGCGAGGCTGCCAGGCTCCAGACCTACGCTGGAGGCTGTCTTGGGAAACCCTCACCCCAAAGACTCCCCAGCAGCAGCCCAGTCCCCAGGAAGAATATCCCACAGTTCTTTGAGCTACTATATTTGAGGTGGTTGCTTTCAGAGCAATCGGTAACTGATACAGAGAATAATAGGTTTTCTGGTTTCTAGGAATCCCAACTTTTCTTGCTTTTTGATCCAAATGTCGATGCTTTCTGTTCTTGATCCAGGTGATGGGAGACACGTGTGGGCTGTGTCTTTTCACCCCTAAGAGTTTCAACTTGCCTCTCGAAATGAAATAACAGCCACGAAACTTCTTTGCGAACCGTGAAGCAATCTTGGTTGATACGTGTTGATATGATGATTATTGTATCGTTTCTTAACGCCTTACTTACTGGGTTCAAGACAGGAATTTGGAAGAGGGAAGTTAGAGAAGGGAACAGGAAGAGAGATGAGAACAAGAATTTACTGAGCACCTACTATGGCCTAGGTACTATGTGATTTGCTTCCCATCCACTGCCTTGTCCATCCAACACTCCTAGAAGGTGGACCTCATTCCCATTGTACAGATGAGCAAAGTGAGGCTCGGGAAAGTTAAATGGCCTCATAGCCAGGCTGTAACAGGATTTGAACATTGACCAGACTTCGTCCCTTCTTCACACAGGTCTGAGCTTGTGTGGAGAGCTGGAGCGAGGTGGCGTCTCAGCCCATTCGAGATCTTTTGACTTTTTCTCCTTGACCTTTGCCCCAAACTTTGTTTTGGGAGAGACATTAGAAACTAGGATCTTTTCTTTTTTAGTTCCATCTCTGACCTTAGATCAGGCAAGATCAATTCACACCAGACTTTCACTCTGGAGGAGTTTAACACGGACCTCTTTATGGGGTAAGCAGGTTAAGGGGCTCAGCAAAGGAAGCTAAAGCTCTCCCGCCAGCAACAGTGGCAGCCATCACCACCCAGAGGTGCGGCAGGTGGAGGCAGTGAGGCTGCAGTCACAGCAAGTCACTCCCAGGGAGGGGCAGGGAGCAGACACCCTGACTGACCTCTCAACCCACCCTCCCTCCTGTCTGCTGCCTGTGCCTCCTATAAGCGAGTCTCGTTGGAAGCCAGAGGGCAAGGGGCTGGTGATGTATCAGCAGGGATCTTCTCCTCCTTCCTGGCACCAGGCAGAGCACAGACGTGTGTGTCTGTGTGTGTCTGTGTGTGTGTGTGTGGGGGGGGGGATCAAGTAGCACAGACTTGACCTTGACCTTGGCCCCTATCCTCTTTGAGGCCATCCTATTGGGAACACATCCAGTGACCTTGAGACTGTTTTCCCCCAAGAAAGGGGACGCTTGGGTGCGTTTCAATAGGTGCCCCGGGCATTTCCTGGAACCGCGGTGTGCTCACCAAGCCCTGCGCGAAACACCCTCTCCACCTGTCAGCGCCCCGATAGGCTCAAGTGCGCGGCGGTCGCACTTGGAGAGGAATTTGGAGCGTGTGCGTCTCGGCCCCTCGGGCCTCCTTGTTATCAGGAGCCTTCGTTTAAAGGTTGTGTGTATTCGCTTCATGGGTTGATTTCATTACCGACCAGCTGGGTGACTTTGGGGATGCTATTCACCTCTCTGGGCCTTGGTCTTCTCACCTGTAAAATGGAAAATTATAATGAGAACTGAATAAGAATGACCGTAGGGAGCACATAGAATATGTCAGATGCCTATTGAGCACACACGGTGATTGAGCAGTCTTTTTCCTCTCCCCCTCCTCCTCCTCCTCCTCCTCCTTCTCCTTCTCCTCCTCCTCCTCCTCCTCTTCCCGCCATGGGGGTGGACTCTGTATCAGAGAAAACAGCAGAAAGGCCCTAACAAGGGGATCTTTTTACCCAGAGAACCACAGAACAGGAAACCGTGAAATTCTCAATTCATTGACGACTTTTCACGCGCCCTGCCCGGGGTGCATTTGGGTGCTGACTCTCACAGAGCCCTGGGCGGGAGGTGTTCCCATGCCTTCTGTGCTGCTCAAGAAACTGAGGCTCAGAGATGCAAGGCGTCCAAGGGCACTCGCCCAGGAAAAGGCAGGGCCAAGATGGGAGCCCGGGTCTTGGCGGGTTGGGGCAAACCCCTTTCTGACTGCCCACCGAGGTGAAGGACACAACGCCCTGGAAGCTGGGACACTGCCGCCCTCTGCACTGAACACGCCTGTGACAGACAGTCGCCCGCACCCAGCCACGGTCCCTGTACCTCATGTGGCCACAGAGGAGGTGAGACTGGCTGGTCGCTCAGTGGTTAGAGCACCAGCCCGTGGACTGAAGGGTTGCGGGTTCAATTCCAGTCAAGGACACGTACCTCAGCTGCAGGCTCTATCCCCGGCCCTGGTCAGGGTGCATGCGAGAGGCAACCAATTGATGTGTCTGTCTCATATCGATGTTTCTCTGTTTCTCCCCTTCCACTCTAAAAATCAGTGGAAAAATATTGTTGGGTGAGGGTTAAAAATCAGAAAAACAAAAAGAGAGGAGGTGAGAGGGACCACCAAGATGCTGTTCTCTTGCCCTGGCTGGTTTGGCTCACTGGATAGAGCATCGGCCTGGGGACTGAAGGGTCCCGGGTTCGGTTCCGGTCAAGGGCATGTGCCTTGGTTGCGGGCGCATCCCCAGTGGGGGGTGTGCAGGAGGCTGCTGATCGATGCTTCTCTCTCATCAATGTTTCTAACTCTCTATCATTCTCCCTTCCTCTCTGTAAAAAAATCAATAAAATATATATTTAAAAAAAAAAAAAAGATGCTGTTCTCTTGCCACTCTTCTCTGCCACCCCTGCAGGACGGGGGTGGGGGTCCAGCTGGGGACATCAGAGTGAGGGACAATGAGTGGCAGCGTAGACACATCGCTGGCGACGGTGTCAGGATTTTCTTTGTCCCGTGTCCATTCAAAGCCCGCACCCGAGACCAGGACTCTCTCCAGTTCTTACAGTCTCTTGGGTGAACTCCATATCTGTGGTTTCTCTTCGAGGGGACTGGACGTGAGTTGAAGCCTGCTTAGTGACGTGACACCATGGGAATCTGAGAAGCAGGCTCAGAGGTTGGTCATAGGAATCACTAGCCTCACGGCAGGACTGGGGGGATGAATGAGATAATTCTTGGAAAGGGGCTGGAGCAGTGCCGGGCACCACCTTAGAAGATGCCCAGGGCAGCGGTCATGGTTGGTCTTATCTGTTGTTTTGTCATCTGTAAGTTCCTAGGACTGGAATACAAATTCTAGGGTTTGGGGTACCTGATGGAACTTACAGAAAGTAGGGGAGGAGGATGAATGGAGATTTGAACACTTCCTGTAAGCCAGGCACCTGGGAGGCACTTGA